TTTTTTTTTTTTTGCTTCTCGAGAGAGCCATCGTTATTCCCACATAGATTCCTGGTATTGCTATTTCTCTATCTATTTCAGAGACCAGACAGCAGAATTTCTGGCGTAGACCATTTTTGGTATAACCCAGATTCAGTCACAACCTGCCGCCAATTGACAATGCTGGATTTTCTAAAAACTGTGTGCTTGAAGGTTGCCGGTTTCTTTTAAATCGTGTGTATGCTCGATGAAATAAATCATTGGCATTATGATCAAGTGAAACAAATTATTCGAATTATGTTGTTCGACTAGATAATTAAAATTAGGAAACCAAGATCGAGCACAAGGAACATTTTGTCTTCTCTCCAGCATATCGTCGTTTCTAAACTTGGATAAGAAATCTGAAAAGCAGTATTACGATTGAAGATAAAAATTGCATTCTCTGTTGCAGATTATTAAAAAAGTGGGATTTCGTCAATTTCTATTAGCAATTGCCTGTCTGAGTAAACCTTTGAGTTTCTTCTCGTTAAATTTTGAAGAATGACAATCTCCAGTCATAAAAATAAAATTATCGGAAATAAATTTCTTGAGATAAAGAGAAACAAATCGATCGTCAAATTCAAACGTTTGATTAGAAACTTCCGTTTCATTTAATTAGATTTGTGATTAATATTGTTTTGTGTGTAATACATATATTTACTAATGATATACAGCTTATTGATACTTATCTAAAATACTTCGATTATGTGGTGATAATGGTATCAATCATCTTGCAAAACGAATATTAAAATTAAAGTGACGATTCGAAATCGATCGTCATGATATAACAAGCCATTAATTTCAAGATAATATAAATTAATAATCAATTGTTATTAAACAATTCCGGTTATTTTTCATTTTAAAAAAATTGAATCGAAATTAAATTACAATCTGCGATAAATTAGGTTTTCTGTTTAACATTGATATTTACGAATAAATACATTACTTATTGCTAGTTGTAAGTTATTTTTAACTAATGTATAAAAAAAATAATAAATATATACTATGTATGAATTTCTTTTTGTAAATACCGGATAATACAAGATCATCACACGGTGATTAATTTCTATTTCGCAGGGAAATATTGCAAAACAGTAAGAACCTTCTATTTCTACCTTTTACTTGCTGCCTTTTATGTGTATATAAAACGAGCACGTGTTCACATTCATTTCTACATTTCTAAAGTTCCACTTAAAAGATGAACAAAAAGAAAAAGAATTATCCGATTTTTATGCATAAACGTACAGTCAAAAGTATGAATTTGTAAACGTAGATAAGAAATGACACACGCGCGTATATGCGCGCATTCATAGAATGAATATTCTCCTTGAGCAATTATACAAATTATGAAACGGTATTCTAAAAACGTTAGAACATTCTACGTGTACGTAAATTTATTTTGTATACATTAACATAAAATTAATTACATGTATACAAAGGGAAAGTGGTATTGGACATTTATTGCTTATTTACTGGGGAAAATGTAAAACATTAAGTGAATAACATTATCCTTACCTAATTTAAAAGATGCGCGTTAGAAAGGAAGCTAGGTGTATAAAAAATATCTCATATGTAAAGTCACTTTGTCCGGACAGGATGAACATACGTAATTGAATCGGAAGTAGGTCGACACCGTGAAACTGGTCGCACCGGAGGACGATCGCAAACTAATAATGTGCTCTAATATCACGAAGCTCGCTTCCATCTGTCTGCTAGCTAATAAACTTCAATCACCTCCCACCATGATTTTAAAGCGGCCACGTTACTGCTCGAAAATCTTCGGGTTCCTTGCTTGGGGGAAAGAAGCCTGTAATATCACTCAAATGTACACAAACAACTTCAATTCTTTTGTTTTCCTTTCGCTTAAGTGAACTTGTATTTATCATAATCATACTTTCTAAATCCGGAATCTGTTGGCAAGGCAACAGATCAATTATTGTAATTTGAAAACGAATATTGAAATATATTTTTACTAGAATCAATATATTTATTGCACGTATATTGCGAAGTCTTCTTTTGTCACGTAAAAAATATACGTAATATAAAGAAAAAATTAAATAAAACTTTCATTAATGTTATTATTGTCTTTTGATTCATTTCATTCATTCATTTTTCTCCAGAGAAAATATCTTTTGTACGAGCATCCATGACAATACAATATAAATACAATACAAAAGGTTCTTCTTCGTCTACAAAATAATTTCTATGAAATATTTTTTGTTTAAAACAACTAACGTTATTAATTTTATTAATTACTTTTATTAATCATTAGCTAAGTTCTATCTGTAGATCTTTGATATGTATCTTGATTGGTAGCACAGCCTGGGCATGTATGTAAAGATTCATGGATAAATATTTCACAGTCTAAACAAAATGTTTGATTGCATTTATTACAAGTGTACACCTGGAAGAAGATACAGTTATAACTTATATTTTATAAATTATATTCATACGTTTTTTTTATTAAATTACATTGATCGTACCCTTTTATCTTTTTGAGACAATATCTTTTGACAACCATAACAAGTTGAAGGAGTTCCACTGTATGCCACTTCTTTAAAAGGTTCAACAGGAAATAAATAATGATAGGACCGTGCTAAATGTGGAGCAGATACCAAAGTTAATCCACATGCTCTACATTCTACTGGAAGTTCACAATGTTTGCTCAAACATTGAGGACAAAGATATCCTGTACTAAGAAGTTTAACAGATTCATCTGAATTTTCTGCATGACTGTAAAAGAAAAAAATCCTTTTTTGTTATGAAAAGAATATTTTATTTATGAAGGAATGATTATTTACCACATGCAAACTGCCATAGTCGAATCATTCGCAGAAGAATGTAATGCATGATGAGGAAAACCCATTTTTACAAGAGCAGCATCCAATCTAGTAGCAGCTGGTGGAGGATCTATGTGTGTATTTAACTGTTCCTTGTAATGTTTATCATCCAATGCAACACCATGTTCTCCACCTGTTGCTGTTGCCATTCTTTTACAAATATATAATTCAGCAGCCAATCCTATTACACTGCACCTGACAGAATCTGTCTTCATATTCTGTAACCAAAAATTAATTGTTATATTTTAGTATGATCATAGTACGTGAGGCATACTTGAACAGTTTCATTAATATCTCCTAATACTGTAATAATAAATATGGCGTACTTGAATAGTTTCATTAATATCTCCTGGATCACATGTTGTGAGTGCTCCCACTATTATGAGTATTTCTTTACTAGCATGTGATGGTAGAAGACGTAAGGACTTTAATGCTAGCTCTATAGAGTTTTGTAACGAAGGCTCACCTGCTGGAGCAATCTGTTGCATGTTTTGCACTTCCTACATATATATAAAAATAAATACTTGTAAATAAAAATAAAATTAGTAAATGCCCCACAAGAAAACTTACTTTAACATGTTTTTTAGAATTTCCAGCTAATTCACTCACTTTCTCTGCTCTTTTGTTTCTCGTGATAATTACCCCTAACTGACTTATAGGATTTTGATAAAAAAACTCTTCAATAAAATCTTCTAAAAGCTTAAATTAAGTTTCATTTATAATCAAATATGATATACACAACTGTTATATCATATATCAACTGGTACCTTCAAGGAACATAAGAAACGAGTTGGTTTCAAATCTTGAATAGACATGGATTCAGAAGCATCGAGAATTATATAAAGGTGCCTCATCATTCCTAATCTGGCACCAACTTTTTTTTCCATTTGACGCTTTCTTTTAGCATTGTGGATAATATCAGCAACTGATGCTTCCAACAATCCATGATCATCTTCTTTAATTGCTTCCCTGTATACAAAATGCATAACAAATTACTTGCATGATTATGCATACAATGAATAACAATTGACTAGAGTAATTCAAAAAATATTTTCAATACCATGTTTTCTCATAACCAGTCTCCCATCTATACTCTTTCTCTTCTTCTTCATCAGCCATTTTTTTAATTTCTGAAACAAACATCATGATCAAACGTTCAACTTATTTGTTTAATTAAGTTTAATTAAGAAAATACATTTTGAATTTTTTTTCTTAAGTTTGAAACGACGGTTACTTTATCCGATTTGGTTTGATCACACGAAAAAATAAGGTTAGTGTTGTTTATATTGTCGCTGACACTAAAGACAAGTCGACATTGCGACTGAAAAAATTAATATACAAATTCTTTAACAAATTAGACATTGACGGTACAAAATTGCAATGAGAAGGAATCCTTGGAAAAGACGTGACGAATTCCAACAGAAGATCCGTGTGCATCACATAGCATTTGCGCGGTATCCGGTTGAATACGAAGGATTTGTTTTCCGAATCGCTCCCAAATCCAGATCATAGGAACCGTATCAAGATACGAAAGAAAACGCCTCGTAACGCATCTGAAATTTCATTTGCCGATCAGGACAGAGAGCAGTTGATCGCATGCAAAACTCGTAGATCAACCCGCAATAACCGACGATTATTACATACGTCTCGACATCAATTAACATAAGCTTGCCTTTTCTATACTCGATCCAACATAGCCGGAACATAGATGAATTCGTCGAGGAGAAGCGGTACATTTGAACGGGACAACGAGCCGCGTAAAGTTACGCCGGTCTTCCGAGCGTAATTTCTTCTCGTTTCTCTCGTAATCTCTTTTAAGAGCAACATTCTAAGCGTAAAATACGCGGTCGTAGATGAAGCGTCCCTGGCAGAAGAGGAAAAAGGGAAATTAATGGAGCAACGTTTTCCCGCCAAAAAAGCGGACCGTTGCCGTGGCGGGTAGGCGCCATGGCGCCACTGTCGTCAGACGCGATCACTGTTTTCATACTCATCTCGTGCAGCAACGGCAATTAAATTCCAGATCGAAAGGGGAATCGAAATTTTTTCCACGGTCTGCTGGACGTAAGTCGACATCGCGTTGGTTTCGTGGCACCGGTCGGATTGAAATCGGCGACGGGCCAAGTGTGTTCGGAAAATATTCATGGATAGACAGGAAGTGAATAGTCAGGGAGAGCTTTCGTGACGAGAGCCATCTTGACGAGCATCGGCTCATGATAGACAGAGGACAAGCCTATAGCGGCGGCGGCAGCGGCAATGGCATCGTTTCTAAATGTTCTTGTGGATTCTGAACGCTCGCATTGCCAGCAGCTAGAATAATCGTTCCGCACCGGTAACGATCTATCACGGTGGAGCCGGCTGCTATTCCAAGATCGAACTTATCTGTGAGTTTTATTCGTTGGTAACTTACGCCACTGGCCGCGTTTACAATGACTCCGTGCTGCGTGTCCCTCGACGTCCTGCCATTTATGCGGGAATTCATTTAATTTAAATAGAAAAAAAAAGTTCCGCGGAGAAGAAACAAAGAAGAAGAAAAGGAAAAAGAAGAAGAAGAGAGAGAAGAAAAGAAAGATTTGCCCGCGACGACCAATTTTTGAATCGCGCGGACCGGTTTCGAATATTATTTAACGACGAGATGTGTGCGTCGAGCGATCCGTCGTATTGTTACAACATAACGACGACGGTGGTGTCTTGTTAGAAAAATGCTCGCGGCTCGATCTCCACGCCGGCGTGCCGCGTGTGAATTTTCCCGGACACCCGCGAAATTTCGAACACCAAACGTCGTGGCTCTTTCTTTTCTTGCAATGCCAGCAACGTTATTTCTTTTTGTGTCGTTCGTGAAAACATGCTTGCTCAACTGTTTAAAAATTCACTCGACAAGATTCATTGACGCACTGTTCAATTAATACACATTGCAAGTGGTATATAATATTTATTACTTACACAGAATGGAACATTTTTACATGTCACAATGTTTTGATACAATTGACTTCTTTTTTTTTTCTTAACTACTCAATTGATTTTCTTCTTAACTAAAAATACGGATTTTTCTTAATTAAAAATACGGATTTTGTGAAATGTCTAATGAATCACTTGTAGAGGAGAGTTGTCATATATTTATGTAGATACGTAAGTGAATAGTGAGTTCACAATTCACAATGTGCATTGTTTGAAGAGTGTTGAATAGTGGAATTGGTTTGTTATTAATATATTATCACTGATCAGTTGTTTTATTATATATGTTGCAAAAGTAAGAAAGAAATTTTATATTTGTTTGTTTGTTTATTTTTTTTTTTTAGAAAGAAACCTTGAGGATAAAGACTTTATCACTTAATTAAACAACATGGAAGGAGGCGATGGTCCTTCGGCCATCGGTAGTAATCCTACTGCTATTAAAGGTATTGTTTAGAATTTATTTTTTTTTTATTCTAGTCCTGCGATATAATTGTGTAATGCGATATATAAGAAAAGATCATTTAAATTTGAAACTTGTATACATATATATTTATACATATATATTTTGCTTTTGAACAGTTTCACAAGAGAATTTGTATTAGTATAAAAAGTCAGTAGTCACTGGTATATAAATTGGTATATAAAAGTGAGAGTGCTGATGTACTGATCAAAATATAAGAGAAACTTGTATTGTTGTTATGAATAAAAAAATAATAAATTGAATAAAAAAATAATAAATTGAATAAAAAAATAACGAATTTTGTTATATTATCAGCTGCACAGGAAGAGATGGGAAGATTAGATGTTCTTGTCTGCGGACAGTGCCACTCAGTGTTTCATTTTATTGAAGAATTTCAAGAGCATCGTACAAAAGAAGGCGCTTGTACCCAAATTTCACATTTTCGCGAAAATAGTAATGTTAGTAATCTTTACTTGATAATGATATTAAGAAATGATATTAATACAGCATGCTGCTATTTTATTTTAACTTTTTGCAGAATGAACAGAAAGCACAAGTGTGGGCTTTCCTTTTATGGAAAGATTCACAAATCCAGCAGGAGAGTTCAGATAAAGACTCGACAAATTCATGGAAACTGTATCAAAAATGGTGCAAAATGGATACGCACATAAGGGATTCATGGATTGCAGCTGGAAAAACTATTCAAACATTCACGAAAATCAGCAATGCAAAAATGCAGGATGTACCGAGGCAGAATCAAATAAATACTAATGCGGAAGGTATATATTTTGCAAGTAATAATTTTATATTAATTTAAATGGATACTGTACTAAAATTATTTTGTATTTTCACAGGGAAACCAGTAGTTGTTCGTAAAGTAATTAGAAATGGACAACCAGAAGACGATAGTAAAAAGGATAATAAAACTGTAGAAGCAAAAAATCAAAAAAGTAATGAATCTTTCGACGAAGTAGAAAAGAGAGAAAAACCAAAATTGAGACCAACGATAAAACTTAAGGTTAACTTCTTTACATCTCAATGATATTTCGATATATATATAAAAAGTTAATAATTTATTCATCTTTATAGGTTAAATCTAATAAAGCTGGCGATGATGATCGAGATTCAAGCGACGAAGAACATGTAGTAGAAAAGATATTAGCAAAACGATTTAATCCAAAAAAGAGATGCTCGGAATATCTATTAAAGTGGGAAGGTTTTGGACAGTAAGTTAATTTATAACATTATCGTACATAAGAGAGTAATAATTAACATTGCAAAATATATTAAAAATACACAAACAATTATAGTGAACATAATAGATGGGAACCTGCTGAACATGTAGCTACGTGTAAACATTTATTAGAAGAATTTGAAAGAAATCTTGCTAAAAAAAAAGAATTAAAAGCTGCTCAGCAGCAGGCTAACGCAAAGGCAGCAGGACGAGGTGGTCATCCTGCTCAGAAAACGATTATAAAAACGGAAGCTAAACCTGGACCAAGTACTGCAGCTCAAGTAGGGTAAGACAATTATGTTTTACAGTTTATACAACATTCAATATTCCATATATGTGGTAAAATAGTATAAACTTGAAACGACAAATTGTCTGTATACAGACGACCAATGCGATCAAGCAAATCAAAAGCAATGGATCAAG